TAGCCATCTATATATAACTATGATATTGCAAGGTGAAATGGATTTTCAAAATGAGGGTGATGTTGCACGAGTTTGGTCAACACCTGTATATATATATATATATATATATATATATATATATATATATTCATTGGATTCACACTGAATGAATGCTTGTCGCTGCATTAGCTGTGAGACAAATGTATTATGTGCTTGAGTTTTGAGCAATTTCACTGCCATAGTCTTCGTTAAATGGGAAAATACTGCAGAAATATTAAAGTTTTTATTTTCCAACACTGGTCACTCCGGATAGCTTTGTCGTGCTACCTTCATTGCGATCCACATTTCGCCCATTTCGTTCAGGTTGCTCGTTTCCTACTGGAGAAAGGTGCCTCGGTGAATGCGTTTGATAAACGCGATCGGCGAGCAATGCATTGGGCTGCAGTATGCGGATATGCACAGGCAAGTCTAGTAATCCTCGCTATTTGTTGTGGTATTTATGTCTGATCCCATGGTTACAATGAATGATGCTATTAATGTATCACCCCGACCTCGACTACTATCTTCGGCTGAGTTTGTCACGCGGAGCCAACCGTCCTATTCCTTCAATTGCATACCTCGTTCGAGCTAACTAACTTCTTTCGGTGTGAGAATCCCTAAAACAGGCTTGTCTCACATTTGAAGGTCTGGATATTGACCGGAAAACAGAAACATATTCAGGACCTGAGTCCGGCAATCGGATTACTCTAATGGCCTTTCATTTGTGCCTTCTTGGGGATCGTGATGCGTCAGTGTTCTGTTCCGCAAATGTTGGTTTTGCTTTGAGCACCAGCCTGAGATTGCTCTATTGTCTCAAATCCTGATTGACGCTCCACTATGCGCATTCAAACTCCGAGGTACATTTAAAGTCGCCATCAGGGATCAAAGGAACAGGTGTGCTCGTAGTTTCCTCATACGCTCCCACAAACTTCAGACCGGAGGCAGTCAAATTCAGCTTCTGTTTTTGTTTATGTGACCTAGTTGAGCCGCCAAAGACGAATATCATGGCAGTGGCCGGAGACCTAAACATTTACGTTGATTATCTGTCGTTTAATGAAGCTCATCTTCAAGGTCATCACGATCGCGATATCTGCCGTTCAGGTAGCCTGTATTAAGAGTACTGTTCGTTCTTCGTTAGTACGAATTTGAATCGACCGAAGCTGCACTTAACGACTGAACTTAATCCTCTATCGATGCATAGGTGGATCTAAACGTTTTACATATATATAGTGAGGGTGTATGAAAGACTACCTTTCGGACTGCTCGATCTGCTTCGACGTTGATCACGCTTTACTGCAATTTCTCTATACGATTTGATGGTAGCACAAGATGAACGCAAGCAACATGTTATTTTCGAACTTGCCAACACAGCGGTGCTGGTCGACTACCCCAACATGTTTGTGTGTTCATAAGAGATTGTTGGATGAAGGGGGTTCACTGAAGTTCCCCATTTTCTCTTCAGCTCTACTTTCAACCTTCCTGTCTTTCCCCTACTGTTTATCCAAAGACAGCATCCAAAACCAGCGCCCGAAAGTGCATGATGGATGGTTGTACAAAGGTGAAACTGAACTGCTTGAGGGTTCAACCTCAGGGTAGAAGAACGATTGCAGTTTTCAGTCAATGCCCTAATTTTTTTTGTCCTCCCACCCGGTTTCAGCCTGAGTACTCGAAATCTATGTTGTGCGCTTTAATTTCGGTCAACGTCCTTCAATCTTGAAACGGTGAAAAGGTTGAATTGAACAAGCCCATTAAGCGCGAGAGATGATTAAAATGTGCAGATGAGCAAAACCCTTTTTCACGGATCAGTATAACCAATATTCAGGATACATGATACTCCAAAGCCTCAGTATGGTCGTGGTTGGGTGTCTTGGGATGTGACTGGCCATCATTCGCTTACACCTCGCGAAATGCTCCCATATGACCGAGCGCCCCGAACAGGTTCTGCTGAGGAAGCCATACACCGCGGCGGTGTTTTACCACCAAAGTCACAGAACAGATAGCTAGCATCCGGGGTTATAACTGTGTTGGTTAACCACTGGCAGTTCCCCTTGGGGGTGCGACTAAAAACCCTGATTCCAAATCAACCATAAGGAAGCGTACGAACCAAATCCGCCCACACTGCATTGTTTACCGGCTTCAGTGATCATCGAGATGTATTAGGCGCCTTGGACGTTTCAATTCGTCCAAAGGACGTATGATCC